ACAAACGAATCCAAGAAAACTATAAAATTGAGAACGTTGCTTGGAACACTAACAGCTAAACCACATATTTTCTGGATCCTTATTTGGCTAGAAGAAGCTAGAAGAAGCAGCAGAAGCAGGAACATTGAAATATAAGCTTGAAGAAGACATTCACGCTGGTTCCATTCTTGTTGTGTCTGACAAGGGCATGGCAAGAACATAACCAGATTCTGAGCCACTGATTTTATCTAGGAGAACCTTAGCTAGATCACCAGCTATGTAAGAGACTCCACAGGTTGCAAGTGCCAAGCTAACATAATGCAGCACTGTTTTGATATAGGATTTGGGTGGTGTGCTGGTGTAAGCTTTTCCCATAGCAAGAAGAATGATGCACACAACAGAAGAGGCTGTCACAGCTGCAATATTATATTCATCATAGTAGTGCTTAGAAATTAAGAGGCTGTAGACAACAAGTGGGACAGAACCAAAAATTATGAATGATAACACAGCTAGAAAAGCATGAAGTGTGAAGTTTTCTCTACGGCCAAGTAGTTCTTCATATCGATCTTGTGATGGATTCCCTCCAGAATGACCATTTTTCAAATCAGTGAGCTGGAAAAGGAGAAAAAGGTGTTATGACATTAACATCATGCAGTCATGCACTGTGATCTAAACAATACTACCAGAATACATCGAATATATAAAAGAAAGAAGTGAGCTTTAACCATAATAGAACTGTAAATAAGCAACAAATGGAAGGCAACTCACATTATGGCCAATGACAGAAAGTCCACCGATGAGATTCGCCAACCCCAATGCTATAATATTCACTACAATACTCATAAAAGAAAAATATTTACACATTGTTACCCAATTTTAAAATGTAACATAAAAATTCTTGCAATTCAGATCACCACTCATAAAACATGGAATACAGCACAGTCTTTTCTTGTTTGTTTCTATGTTAAATTATACTTTAAGAACCAAATAAGTTTAGGGCTTAATTTTCATAGTGTCAATGTAAGAAAATTTACAGTATCAACTTCCAGATATTATGATTAACATAACATTTAAGGTGGTTATGTCCATGCAGAAAAGTTCAGATTACCATACATGATAGACTATGATAATAAGATGTCCGTGTAAAAATCAGTGACACCATAAAACCCTCCCACAGTGAGAGATAGATGGAAGCACTTACATGGAGCAGAACCAGAAGAAGCAGCAGATGACACAACCCCAAGACTAGTGATTGATTCAACTAAACCACCGTACACAATGCTTTTAAGTATTTCCCACTCTTGGTGCTCACCAATTTCAGCCCTTGGTTGTTCCCCAATATAGATTTCAGTGTGTGCTTCTGTCACAATATCTCCTTCAGTTGGAACGTAACCTGCCTGGGATGTAGAGGTTTCAAATGCTTCTGCCTCAACAAAAACTTCACATTACTAACAACATCATAATCATACTTACGGTTATTACACACACAAAAAATATTAACACTGCTTACAGAACAACTAAGGGGAGTCAGAATTATTGTTAATTGATTATTAATTTGAGTTCTTTTGTCTTCATACCATTCTTTTCGTTTGCAACAAAAGGTTTTATTTCGTCTTCAATACCCGTTTCAACTTTCTTCAAATCTTCAATTGATGGAATCGAGCCATTTACTATGAAATTTTGTTTGTCTCTAGCTACATCATTTGCAACTACTTCACTGTCAAATGATTGTTCTGGTGATTGTGCTTCTTTCATCAAAGAAGAATAACTATTCTGAGCTATTTCCAATGGATTATCAATTCTAGAATCTTCAACTGAAGTGGGATCTGCTATAGAATCTTCACTAGAAGCATCACCTACACCAAGATGTCAAGAAAACAGGATTTTCAATTGAAAGAAGAAAGATCTCATTATTAAAAAATTGTCAGATCAGATATAGGGAGAAAAAGGGAAAGTTGACCACAGGGAATGTATAGAAATAGGAAATTGCAGGTTTTATTAAAAAATCACAACTATAATAAATAATACCTTGGCGGGTCTTATGTTTGTAAAAACATCACTGTGAAAATGACTGCAACTAGTAGTAATTGTTTGTTATTTATTATTAATTTACCTTGAACACTAGCTTTTCTTCCCTTGATTGATGTAAACAGAGTGAAGAACCAATTTGAATTGGAAGCTGCAACACCTGAAGGATTTTCCACGTTGGATGCAGGTACAACCGGAAGCTTTTGTGAAGCTTCAGGCTTACCCCCAAAACTTGGGAACAGTTTGAATCCATTTCCTGCCAAAGTAACTAATTTTTTTAGCACAAATAGATGATTATCACATAAGCACCATAAGTATTGGGTTGATAACCATTAACCATAGCCATCTCCCAAAACATGTGAATGATATGTTATCTATGTAACACATATACTCACAAAGACACCGGACACGACACAACACTTCGACATGTGTAGTCTCCAAAATGTAGGACACAGAAACATATATATCAGATCGTTATATATTTACAACTTAAAATCATTTATAAACAAAATTAGTCAAATATAATAATCTAAACACATTGTTAGCTATTTACATACTAATATATTTTCCTCAAGAAAGGTGATCAACTTACCTATAGGAATAAAGAAGCTGAAGCATGATAAACATCTGAACACTTCTGGTTCTCTTTCGGGCTCAAAATTATCAGCAGGAGGCTCTACTCTAGCTACATCATCAGGTGTTGCAATTGCATGATCACCTTGGTTGTCTTCATCTACAGAACTATCAACTACCTCAATGGCTGACTTGTCACGCTTTGGTTTAGTGTCTATGTTAGGAATAGGAGTAGTTCTTTTTCTCTTCCTTAGGATAACCCTTTTAGTAATACAAGATTTACAATTAGGACAAAACAAGTCATGTGTCTCTTGTTTTGCCAACACTGCCTCAACATCATATTCTTTCAGTTGCTGGTCAATTTCTTCTGTCAAATTAGGTGAAGGTAACTCTGCTACGGAGGAAGGTACTTTTTCATCAACAATTTCCATGTTGTTGACTCCATTCCTTGGCAGAGCAGACATTGCACCATCAATATTGTCGCCTGCAAGCATGCCACAAACAATCATTTCAATTCCAAATTGCCACACATGACAGTTCATGTTCCGTGTATGAACAATGTTACTATCTTAGCATTATATAAATAGGAGAAGTTTATTAAAAATCATAAAATTTTGTAATCTTACTTGTTTTGTAATGAATTCCACTCATGTTTTTGTAACTCCTAAAGTGTATTAGAACATAACTATAGACATCAGAAATGAGTTCAAGTATGGGATACCTCATGATAGATTGAGCCGATGTTCTGCATATTTCTACTAAATTTTTAAACCAAAAGACGAATACACAAGTAACTGGATAAATGACCACAGTTACGAATACACAAGAAACTTTCTAACCATAAGTTTAAGCAAACTCCTAAACAAAGTCAAAATTTGCACTTAGAAAACATCTGATCAAAGATTGGGCATGGTTCATGTAGACATTCCAACAACTACAAGGGCCCTTTAAACCCAACTTGTTAAAAATTAAGTGGCATAATTAGATCCAGCAAGATTTCACAAGAAAAAGTTGCTTCTGCTGGGTAAAGTCTCTACCCTCTGGAAGTCAATAAGGAGGTCCATACCATTGGAATTTGGAAGACTGTGAAGCAACATGGATCAGATCTAACTGCTAATATGTGCCTTAGAAATCTCGGCACCTACTGACCTTTAGTTTCACACACAATACATGGTCCATGTTGAATCATAGTTTTAACATTCATGAGCAAGTCAGAGTAGCCATTAAGATTCCCACGCCGCAAATTCCAAGGACTGTCAAATTGCTTGGTCCATGAGCAGTGGTGACATTTCCACATTCCTTCATGCATAAAAAAAATGATGGTATGCTTACTATTACAAAAAACGAAATGGCAAAAAATGATTCGAGAAATTTGAGAAAAGGAAGATTTTTCAGTCCAAGGTGTGCGCCCCATGAGGATAAATTCTTCATATTATTTTGTAAAATATAGTTAACTCTACTATAGTGAAGAATGCTCTTGCTCAAAAATATTTTTTTTTATTTTTTAGACAAGTTATAGAAAGTAAAAATAAAAGGAAACATAGAGGTCCACAAAGATTGCTGTTGGGGAAGAAAAAGAAGCAGAATAAAAATAATTCTGTACCTTGTTGTTGGTCCAAATAAACACTATTCTTATGGTGTGATGCATCAGCATTTATGGTAGCACTGCTTAAAGCCTCTCCATTTATGACATTTTCTACAATCTCAGCTATGATTCCGATCCCACCTTTTTCACTATCACCGTTGAAGTTACTGCCATTTTCTGCAACAACATTGTTTGTTTCTTCAACCTTTTGAACAGGTTGTTCTGTGTGTTCTTTGTGGGTATGAAGCACTTCCTCCTTCTGAGGAAAAGAGTGTTCTCCCACTGAAGAAAAAAAGGAAGGTGCTTCAGCATTGGTAATACTACCATCTTTTCCCTGTTGCAGGGATTGTCTTCCTTTCAAAGCTGCACCTTCTTGCAGTTGTTGTTCTTCTTTCTCTTCATCTTCCCTCACTGCACAGTACAGTTGCTCCATTGAAGCTGGCTTGTTCAGAAGGAGCAGTAGAAAAAAAAAAAAGAGAAAATAAGACAAAGTTTTTATCTTTTGAAAGTTGTGAGGGTTGCATTTAACGTGCTCAACAACTATCGCGTCGCTGTAGATAGAAGCAGTCCACGCAATAGCACACACTAATCTTCTGCACATAGACAAGCAAATTAGTTGTTTTCAAATTTTGGTATATAAATAATAGACAAATTATTTTTAAATTCATATGGTAATTTTAAAGATTTTTTTTCTGTAATAATCCCATTTAATATATATATATATATATATATATATATAGTTATTCATGATAAATTTAATATAACACTTAAATTTAAAATCTCATCTAAAGAATTATGTGTGACAATGATCGTTAGAAATTTAAATACAAATTAGTCTGTATTTATTAAAAAAACTATTGATGTAAAAGTTATCAAATTTATATGTGAAAATTATAATACGAAGGGCTTCTTATATTGTGAATGTATATACTCTTATAACTTATAAAAATTATATCGCAAGAAAAATAACACTCTTGAATGTTAAATATTTATTTATTATTGCCTATTCTAATAATAAGCCTATGAAAGATGGCTGATAAAGAAAGGAAAAAAAACTCTATGAAAGATGATTTGATGTTAAAACCAAATTAGATTATTATTTACAGTAACTATAGTAATATGAGAGAAAATTAAAATAAGTCGTTTTAGTTTTTTTATTGAAAATAATTATTTTCTATTAGAAAACACTTACATTAATTTCCTATAAATGTTTGATGCTGTGTTTTTATGAAGAAAAATGAGAAACACATATTCTGCATGGCGAGCAAATCCAAAATACTATTTTGTCTTTATTTTTTGGGTTGAACTTTTTGTGTCTTGTGTGTCGAGCTGACAGCGATAAGACCGAACAATTGACACAGACCAGTAGATTTCAGAGGTGGGAACTTTTTTTCAGAGTTTTTTAAAAAAATTAACCAACTTTATTTACTCTTGTTAGAATTTTGGTTTTCCAGAACCCAATTTTAACGTTTAACGTTGATAATCAATATGCTGGAAAATAGAAAAGCTGAATTCTAAAATGATTTTCCACTTTTGAAAAATATAATTTAACAAGTAATTGTTAAAATGAATAAATAATACTAATAATAATAATTTTTATTTTATTTTATTGTTCTGGTTTTAAATAAATATTTAAATTAAAAAAAAATTAATAATAAAATAAACAATAATCAAATATGTGAAATCAATTACAGAACTTTGAATTGAAAATATATAATAAAACAATGCAAATGAAAATTTTAAATTATATTGTCAGAGTAGTTTAAGAAAATAAATGAAAATGTATTAATAAAAATAATAATATATTATGAATTAAAGAAATAATAAAAGTGTACTTTTCAAATGTATAATTTCCAACATATACATTTTAAAGTGGTTCACAAAAAAAGTTTAATATAGAAAATATGCAATTACATTTTTTTAATTAAGATGAAATTTTTTATATCAATTAACTTAGATTTAATTTAAAAAGAATTTTTTAAGTAAGTTGTAACATCAACCAACATAAAATGTTACCCTAGGTTAAGACAATAGATGATTTATTTACATTGTCTTTAGGGAGTTTGAAAAACGTCTAGGTGTTTAACGAATTTTAAAATTTATTGAAGATTTCGACGAATTTTGAAAAATTCTGAAAGTCACTGAGTGCTAATTTGTATGTTGGATCCATTTTATTATTTGGTTATTTGAAATAGATTTATAATCGATTTTATATATATTTATGATTATAGTTGTGTTGATTGAAGTGATAATATGTGTTGATAGGGGAAGCTATGCTTAGCTAAACCCATATCAGATATGTGTTGATAGGGGAAGCTATGCTTAGCTAAACCCATATCAGATATGTGTTTTTAGTGATGAACAAAATAAATGTTTCATAATTTCTTGTGTAACAAATGACAAAACCGTTGATTGATCTTTTTTGTCTGTGTGCTTAAAATGATTGGTATACATGCATTTATTGTATGAAATGAATCATAAGTTGAAACATATTACACTTTGTATATTTGAAAGAAATAATCGATTAATCTATTTATATAATCTATTATATTTCTTCATATTTCAGTATATGTTTTAAAGGGGCAAAATAGCTAGGTTTTAACCGATTACATTAGTTGTATAATTGATTAAAATACGTTGTTATGCCAACATGTGTTTGCTGAGTGCATTGATGTGTTTAGAATGGAAAATGATTTTGAAGTTTACTTAAGTATGGAACTTAATCGATTACACAAGTTTCATAATCGATTAATTGTTTATCTTGTGAAAATCATTTTCATTGAAAACTATAACTGCCTATAAATATTAATTGGTTGTTGGCTTGTATGATTTATCCAATCGATTGCATGCACCATTTATTCTGTTAAATCTGAAACATATGTAAAACTGTTAAAGTAGAAAGAAAAGCTTAATTAATTACATTAAAAGCATAATCGATTAAACTGTGTCTGGTTTGGAAAACTCTATAAATAGACGCGTGTTGCACTAATTCAAAACATTCTCTATACTTACACTTTCATAAATGATTTGTTTGTTAAGAATGATTGCAGGACCGTCCTAGACTTCTTGAAGAATCAAGATCATTCATTTCGAAAGAAATCATTTAGATTCTTGCCAGATAATTGTGCTTACACATTGTTGATCATATTGTGCACTTGATGTGTACTCTTTGAGATCAATGTCTACACTATAATAAAGAGAATTGTGTTTCCTATTCCTATGAGCCAGGAGGAAAACCTGTGTATTCTGCATTGAGAATTAAGATTGCTCTCTCAAGATGTATTGAAAGTTGGGATTGCTTCTGAGTTGTGAAATTAATTGTGAGGTTTTTTAGTTTTTGTATTAAAAATAATTATTTTCGATTAGAAAACACTTACATTAATTTCCTATAAATGTTTGATCCTGTCTTTTTATGAAGAAAGAAAAATGAGAAACACATATTCTGCATGGCGAGCAAATCCAAAATACTATCTTTGTCTTTATTTGGGTTGAACTTTTTGCGTGTCTTGTGTGCCGAGCTGACAGACCAATAGATTTCAGAGGTGGGAATTTTTTTCTGAGTTTTTTAAATAATTAACCAACTTTATTTACTCTTCTTGTTAGAATTTTGGTGGTTTTCCAGAACCCAATTTTAACTTTGATAATAAATATGGTGGAAAATAGAAAAACTGAATTCTAAAATGATTTTCCACTTTTAAAAAATATAATTTAACAAGTAATTGTTAAAATGAATAAATAATACTAATACTAATAAATTTTTGTTTTATTTTACTGTTGTGGTTTTAAATAACTATTTAAATTAAAAAAAATATTAATACTAAAATAAATAATCAAATATGTGAAATCAATTACAGAACTTTGAATTGAAAATATAAAATATGTAAAATCAATTACAGAACTTTGAATTGAAAATATCATATTAAAATAATGCAAATGAAAATTTTAAATATATTGTTCAGAGTAGTTTAAAAAAATACTTGAAAATGTATTAATAAAAATAATAATATATTATGAATTAAAGAAAAAATTAAAGTGTACTTTTTAAATGTATAATTTACAATGAATACATTTTAAGGTGGTTCACAAAAAATTAACATAGAAAATATGCAATGACATTTTTTAAATAAGATGAAATGTTTTATATCAATTAACTTAAATTTAATTAAAAAAGGTATTTTTTAAATCAGTTGTAACATCAACCAACATCAAAACATAAAACGTGACTCTAGGTTAAGACAATTGACGTATAAAGTTTTTTTAAAAAAATGAATGTATTAGTATTTTTGCAAATATGATTAACTTTTATATGATGATGGTTATAGAAATCACAGTTTACATAATGATGTCAACAAAAAAAAAAACTTCTTATGCATGACTTAGGTAAATTAATATAGGTAATTTTACTTTGGAAGTTTCTCTTGAATCTTCTACTATTTCTCTTTCTAACTACAAATTTTTTATAAATTTCAAAACTATTCTTTGTAAAAAAAATTGTATAATAATGGTTTCAAAGTGAAAACTAAATCGAGGGTTTGAAAAATGATTAGGTATTCAATGAATTTCAAAATCTATTGAAGATCTCGACGAATTTTGAAAAACGCTGAGCGACACTCTTTGCAAAAGGTTTGTCATTGAGCGTCCTATCTGAGCGCTCGTTTGTATGTTGGATTTGTTTTCTTCTTTGGTTATTTCAAATAGATTTTTAATCGATTTTATATATGTTTATGATTATTGTTGTGTTGATTGAAGTGATAATATGGTTGTAGATAAGTATTATGATGGTATTGAAAGAAGGAGAAATTCTTTGTGGTGATGATTTTAGTGTATGCATTGACATATGAATGTCGGTAATGAAGTATCCTGAACTCTAATAATTATTCACACTCAAATAGAGCAAATCAAGTTCTGTGGTGAGAGTCATAGGAAGTCTTACGTGCAAAGCGACTAACCTTGTAAGTAGTAGGGTGATAACCCCTTTGTTTATGACTCTACAAAACATAAATACTACTAGGTGTAGATGTCTATAGTGAATCTCAATGTCAAAGACATGTATCTAGTAGTTGTTTTGTATAGAAGTTCTTTCTTTTAGAAAAACACATATGAACCATAGTTGGTTTGTATATATTTTTTATTATTATAGTTACTTTTTCTGGGATAAGTGTATTAATATATTATATATTAGGTCTATCTGTTTTGGTTTTATTAATTTTATAACATTTTATATAGTATTTTATACTATTTGTTTCAGTATGTAGGGTTGAGAACTACACTTTTCACAAGTTAATTTTATCTCCTTTCTTAACTTTGTCTTTCCTTTCCTTCGAGTTTGTTGACTTTCCTCTTGTAAGATCCAAATCCGAGCGGTGGGTACCTGCTAATGGCACTCGGATGCTCAAGTCAGTTTTCGATTATCGATAAGTTATTGAACTTGAAGCTATTTTAGCTTGTCCCCCTCTAGCTCCTTTCCCCTTAGGAAAGTCGTCTGAGTTAGAATTCCTCACTACACCACATCCTAACACTGCCATGCATTTCATCGAACACCTTGCAAGCA